CTTCACGAAGCGGGAAAGTCCGAGTTTTCCCAACAATATCATCCCATGAAAGGCTCCAATTATAAACACCTTTCTTCCCTTCTTTCTTTGCCCCTTCTTTTCCGATTCCATGCTTTAACGTTGTATTTGTGGTTCAAGTGTAGAGACCCTTTTCTTTTCTTTTCTTTTTAAAATTGTTTCCTTGCAATGTTTTAGAAATATCAAGCTTTAAGAAGCGTATACAAGAATCAAGACTGCATCAGCAACTAGGAACATGGTTAAATTCATCCTAAAAGAGCTGTAAGAATTGCAACTAAATGGGTGTCTTTATTCCCTCTCATGACAATAATACCCCAAAAAAAGAAAGAACTGTGATCACTGACCATCCGCTAAGAAATAACAAAATAGAAATGAAAAGCAAAGGGATATACAAAAGAATGAAAAGATGCGTGAAGTTGTAAATTGCCGCATATAGAACTTGTAAAAAGGACAGATTTACATAAGAAACTTCATATAGAACCAATCCCTACATTGAAAAGGTTGTCTTTGAGAAGGAGGAGTAAGGAGACAATCAAGATACAAATTTAAATGCCTTTAAACTATTTCAACAAAAAAAAACTTACAAAGAACATTTAACATCCAAGCTATCACTCGGATGGCATACGCATTTTAATAAGTTAATAAAACTGGTTCCACCCTGCTGCTATTAGTAGTAGGAGTAAGTCGCAACGTGCAGAACCAGATATGCCCTTCCAATGGATATTCACTTCTTGTGCTGGTAATGTAGAGGGATGGCCAAACAAATATGTTCAGCAAATAAAACAATAGACAGGACTAGTCTGCATGCATGTCCATGGCAGAATCATTGGAACTAAATGCAGCAGAGTCCCTGCTTTGCTGATGAAGAGAACTGTGTTCACTGCTCCGGTTTCCACTCCCCATGGAGAGACCACTTGGGTAGTTCCCTCCCTCACCAATTTGACGAACAGGGTTTGACAAAGCATTTGAAAACACAGAATTCTTTGATTGATTATCACAGTGCACAGACCCGAGTCCCTGCCCCACAATTGTTTGGCCAGAAAATCCTGTTGTTACCGGAAAGCCTGAACAAGTGACATGCATCACTGGTTGTGACTGCTGGTGTTGCTGTGGAGCTGTAGGTGAAACACATGGCTCCTCTCCGCTGTAATCCAGCTCATTCTGCTAGTAGAAAACTCAACTTTCATACACGAACTTCGCAACCAATAACAACACAAACCAATATTACATTGAAGTATTGCACTACGAAAGGGATCCCTATGTAGCCCAACACCTGCTATGTTATGAACCATTTTTTCAGAACTTCAAGATATCTAACTACACACACAAGTTTGAGACAATAATTTCTGAAAAACTGTCAATCCTACAAATCTTTAAAATGGCAGGAAAAAAAAAAAAGTTTGATTAAAACTCCAAATACTCATTTTGACTAACAGATTCCAGCTCTCCAATAACTTCAGAAAATGAGAAATCAAACAAGAAAGGATGACATAAAAGAGGCAATAATATCCATGAGAGAAATCAAGATAGGTTTCGCCCACTTAATAAAGAAGCAAAGCAATAAAGGAACCTGAATGTAGGTGAGTATATCAAGAGTTGCAACTCTTGATCCGGTCTCTTGTTGCCTCCAGATCCAGTGATATAGGTTTTCCTGGAATGAGAGACAGAAAAGTTAGGTTTTTTGTTTAATTTTGAAAAAGATGAGTAAAGGGGTAAGGGGGTTACGAGAGAGTGGCGTTGACCGGCTTGGAAGGAGAGTTTCTGGTGGCTCATGGAGAGGGTGTAGAGGTGTGAGAGAGAATTGGCGGCGCTGGAGAAGGAGGCGTAGATGGTTCGATCCACCTCGTCCAGGCTGGTGGCTATGGACTTTCTCTTCTTCCCCATCTCTCTCTGGCGTTTATGAGTATCAGACACAGAGGTTGTTGCGCCTTTCTTCCACCGCCACCGCCACCTCCTCCTCCTCTCTCCTCTCCTTTCCTTTCCTTTCCTTTCATCTGCTTCCTTCCTTTCCTATAAATACATATCCAATTCCAATCAACTTTTTTTCTTTGCCTACATACAATCATTTTATTTCCTTCCACCAATCACTCTATATTAATTCACAAATCATTATTTATTCAACTCATATTAACAACAATAATCATTACCATTACATTTATTTTTCATGTTTCATTAATTATACATTGTATTATTCATAAGTTACTTCATGCAAAGAGATGTGAATTTATTAATATAGAAAGATGAATATTATTCAAAGTACATTAAAAATACAGTCTATAATAATGTATTTAAGAAATTACTTCAATAAATGTATTTTTTAATCATAAACTCGTTTGAAATAACAATTAATATTATAAATTTTAATAAAAATGCACGCATTAACTTCAAAACATCATTTAAGATGAATTAGATGTAATAAATATATAAAATCTTCATTTCTTAACATGAATTGTATATAGTGATAAGTATGGAAGACTTTGACTATAATACTTTAGAAAATACTTGTATTTAATGATTTGATTGTCAAGTTGATCTTAATGATGTTAATAAAATAATAGTAATGATTAAATAATATATAAAATAATACGAAAGAAATACGATTTATAGTTTTATAACATTAGAAACTAAAAATGAAATGTAATTTTTATAAGTTTTAGACATTTAAAATATGTAAAAATAAAATAATATTTTTACCAATTTTTTTAATCACATTTCTAATTCTTTGACCCTTCTTTTCTTGGGAATGTTTCAATATTTTTTAAACCAAACACTAGACTAAATATCCATTCAAATAAATTATATAATCAATTATTAAAGCCATTATAATAATAGGAATTTGAAATAATATATATAATATCTTAAATTTGAAGAAATTGTAGCATAAATAAACATGGTAAGAAAGGAATGAGAATTATTGATTACATGTTTGTGGGATTGACTTGCTGGTATTTCTTCACATTCTTATTATAAAATACAATTTAGAAAGAAAATTGTGATATTTTTTATAAAATATTTAACAATTTCTATAAAGTATTCAATTTTTCTTCTTTAATTTTTGCTCATATTAAAGATTGTGAGTATATATACCTTTTTATTAAATAATGAAAATAAAATTTGAGAAATAAGTTGTCTTAAATTTATATTTTTCTTAAAATTATTTTTAATATTAGTGGAATACTTATTTTACTAACTACATGTAAAATTAAGAAAAATGATTTTTATTAAAGATATTTTATAAAATATTTAATATAAGAAATATTTTAAATTCATTTTTATATATAAAAAAACTAAATAACATTCTTTTAGTTATTATAAAAATATATATATATACCAGGAGGAGTACAAAATTGTGTAGATTCCTTACTTCGTTTAAACAGTCTCATTTCTGATATTATGACTTTAAATAAATTTTAACATATTAGTAAAATGTATTGCAACCTTGTCTCATAATTTAATACTTTTTTGTGAAGAGAACTATGTACTCTTCAACACTTTCGTTATATTTATATATTAAAAAAAATCATTATTATTATTTTAAAAAATAGTATTTTATATTTATGTGTATTTCGTTTCAATAAAATAAAATAAAAACAATAATAATAATAAGTTTTACCCTTCATTTAATTAATATCATTTTTTATTTTTGATTAAATACAGGGCTAAAGAAAAAAAATTAAAAACCACAAGGGTAAATTACATTGAAAGAGTCTGTAAATAAAAGAAAATGCACCCAAGGAGGAGGAGAATTAAAAACTAAAATATCTTCTAAGATAGATAGACTTTGTTTAACAAAATGATCTACAACTTGGTTGGCTTTCCAGAGAATATAAACACACTCCGCATTATGATTATCACCAGCCATATGAACTACGTAGTTGATCAAAGAATAACATGAATTTTCTCTAGGACAACCTTCATCGAGGAATTTAATAAATCTTACTACTAATATATTAGAAAAATGTGTTGTAACCTCTTTTCATAATTTAATTCTTTTGTAAACAGTATTACTAATGTGCTCTTCAACTCATTCGAGATATTAAAAATATCACATTCATTATTATTATTATTTAGCATAAAAAGAAGTATTTTACTTTTTTTTTAGGTAAAGAAAAAATATATTAAAAAGAGTACAAAGGAGTACTCTAACCCATAATACACAAGGTTAACTTCAAAAACATAGACATAGATATATGAAACTAAACAAAAATACCCACTACTCAGTGAGTACAATCAAGTGCGTGGACAACTGTTGCTAGACATTAGTAACTCTCGAAACTAAGTGGTGAGCTCAATGACAGTAGCATCTCAAACAATAGATTATGACAGCAACGACAAGAAATAAAATATCATCAACAGATTGATCTTCAAAAGGCAATTATAAGAAGTATTTTGCTTATCTATATATTTTATTTTAAAAATAAAATAAATGATGAAATTAATTGAAGTTGAATATAAATAAATGATTAAATAAAACAGGATTAAAAATAGTGGACATATGAAAAGAAGTGTGATCAACTACGGGATGTAAAAGGTTTAAAACATGAATTTACCTACAATAAAGAAGAAAGAAAATAAAAAATTGATAATAAAAAAAAAGATGATGAAAGAAAAAAATAATTAAAAATTACAAGGATAAAATAGCTTAAAGAATTGTACATCAAAAAGAGACATCATCCTTTTATTAATATTATAGATTAAAATTTATTAAAATTACAAAGTAATGATTACATTTCATTAAATAAAAAAGTAAATAAGACTTAGCATCTAGTTAAATAAATTTTGTTAGAAACACTTTCAAAAGAGAAAAATATAAAAGAAAAATAAAATAAATTTTTTCATAAGGTACTTTCTTACTAACTCCTCTAAATCTCATTTTTTAACTCTTATATAAACTTATTTTATCAATTGAAAAATTTTATTTTAATTTATTTATTTTTGTATAAGTATTTTTAGAAAAAAATTATTAAAATATGTTTTTACATAATTTTATAATTTAAAAAAAAATTAATTAATAATTGTCATCCTTAGTTTGTATGGTAATTATTGAAAAACAATATCACTAGGGATTGAATTCAAATACCAGTAATATATAAAAAAAAATCAGATAATAAATGTAATTTATATATATATAATATAAAATAAATTTGTTAATATTGATTATAATTAGTCTAAATTCTTTAACAATGGCATGTAGCAATTAAAATAATAAACTTATGCATTTCAATTAAATTTAAATGAAAGGAAAGGGGACACATTAGAGTTACCCAGACTTGTGTTGTTTGTACCAAAAGGAGAGAACGTGCATGTTGTGATTGTGGCATGCCAAGTAACGAGGATACATGAAATGAAGGAATCAGAAAATTAAACATGGTTACTCAACACAATAACATGCTTATGCTCGTGTTCTTCCGTGTGTAGCGCGTGTTACTCCTACTGCAATTCCATTTCCCACACATTCCAACGTCCAATGCCGTTTCCATTCATGGTTAGCTTCTTCTCTCTCAACCCATTTTCCCTTACATTCTCAATCCTTCAAAATTTTCACCTTTTTATTCATTAATTCAATCTTATCTCTCTCTTATCTGAAGGAAACCCCAGAAAGAAAAAGAAAAAGAAAACTTGGTAAATACTAGCTTACCCGTGTTTGATCTCTCTTTTGAAAAACATTATCATCATTTGTTGATTTTTAGTGTCAACTTTCTGGATCTGAGACCCCTTTTGGGATCTGTTTATAATGGATTTGAAAAATAAGTTATTTTATTTATTTATTCTATTCATATTTTTTGCCCATATAGATGGGAATTGTTTCGCATTGTCAAATCTTATTTGTTTGGTGATGGATTGGAGTTCAATTTATTTGAATTGGATTCTGATTATATGACATTCTGGTGAATTTAAGATTTTTTTTTTGTTGACAAATAATTGGCATTCATTCAAACGGGTTATACTGTCTTCTGCCAGAAAAATGACTGAATCAGTGCTGTTACTGTGTATGGTTATATAGAAATGAACTTCTATCTTATGCAAGATCTATTTTATTCATAGTGGTAGTTCATTTTATCATTCTTCAATTGGGACGTCTAATATACCGTTAGTATACAAATAGAAACAAGTTTTGGTTGTGATGTTTTTTACATTATATATCAAGTCTGTTGATTTCTCACTGATTCTGTTCCTAATTTAGAACAAATAGTTGCGCGTAAGTTGTGAACTTTATTGATAAAATATCAGAATTATCATGACGGGATGAATTGAAGACCATACCATGTGAGCCTGTTTTAAAAGAAACTATGGCGTGATTCTGGTGAAGATTTATCCTTATTCCTTCACCTAATTTTTTACAATTCTTATTCAATAAATAAGTATAGTTGTTTTTTGTTTGTCAATCTACAGTTCTACACTATAGTCTGTCGTTTTGGGATATAACAGTCATTGCTAGGCCTAGGTGGCTAGGTGAGAATAGAGGTGTGATGTCAGCTGAAGGTGCTGAGAGGAGATGGTGTGGGTTATTTTGAACTTTAAATTAAGGATACGCGAAGTTTTCTGATTCTGAGCTTTCACTGTATCTGACTATCTACTGCATATCACTTTTTAATTGTATAAATTTGATTTTGATACTCTAATCTCAAGGGTTTTCCGGTTTTGTGAGTCTCATTTTATGATCATATCAACTTTCTATCACCAAGGTGGCAAGGTAGATTATTTTCGCAACTAGGAGAAAGATAACACATGCGATGTTTTGCATCAACGTTATCAATAAATAATATTATCAGTGGATTACTGTTGAAGATGGTGAGATGCATGGCAATTCCTTGTTTGTCAATTGTTGGTTTCTGACCCTTTTGATGCCCATAAGATGATTTAGGTTGTATTTTTTGTTATATAGAAATATTCATTGTTCAATAACCTTTTTTTTGCGGTCCCACTCTATCTATATTCTTTTTATTTAAGTATGATAACTTCATACCTTCCACTTTACCAGGCTTTGTTTATTTAAATGGATTGACTCCTATACATCATTTGAATGGATCAAAAGAATGTTATGGAGGCTAGTTAGAAGAGATTAGTGTTAAGTTGTGAAAAATAAACAAGAACATGGCTCCATCCAGCAAGGCTGAGAAGAAGGCAGCAGTGGACGCAGCTGCATGGGTGTTCAATGTTGTCACTTCTGTTGGAATTATCATTGTAAACAAAGCTTTGATGGCCACTTATGGCTTCAGTTTTGGTAAATTCCTTTTCCAATGTTTTGATGGTATATCTGTTCTTGGGTTTATGAAGTTTTAGTAGATATAGAGGGAGGAAGAGAGATAAAAGAGAATGAAAAAACTAAATGATATTAAATGCAATTTATTACCATGTATTATTGTGTTTGATATATTCATAGAAGCTAGAGCATAATGAATTAGGAAATAGGGAAACTAATCTCAGAGGATAATCTAAGATATGAGAATACATTTTTGGATGCTTCGACATATTCTAATTGTTGTCCAAGTTATTATATTATCATGTTTTGATATTAATTTCTTATCTTGTTTTAATTATGATCTGCCTTTGCCTGCAGCTACAACATTAACAGGCCTTCACTTCGCCACTACAACTTTGATGACAACCATACTAAGGATGCTGGGATATGTCCAGGATTCTCATTTACCCTTCTCAGAGCTTCTAAAATTTGTTTTATTTGCCAACTTCTCCATTGTTGGAATGAATGTCAGTCTAATGTGGAACTCAGTTGGATTTTACCAAGTGAGTTGGGTTGAATTTTCGTTATTGGTCCATTACTCTATAATTGTACTCAGAAGTTAAAATTTCATTTTAACCGTTAACAGATTGCTAAGTTGAGTATGATCCCTGTATCTTGCCTGTTGGAAGTTGTTTTTGACAAGGTTCGGTATTCAAGAGATACAAAATTGAGCATAGGTGTTGTTCTTTTGGGTGTTGGTGTTTGCACTATTACTGATGTGAGTGTTAACACAAAAGGTTTCCTTGCTGCCTTTATAGCAGTGTGGAGCACTTCTCTGCAACAATATGTAAGTGTGGCATTCCACTATACGAAACATACTGCTTCTGTTCAAAATTCAAACTTGAATGGCATAATTAAATCACAAATAGATCCATGCATCTGCATGGTAACATTACAAAGAACGGAAGAGAGGTATGCATCATAAAAACATTTTGAAGTACCTCTTTCTTAAAAGTGTTATGTATTATGCTTATATGTCCACATGAATGCATTTGATATAAAATTATGGCATCACATAACTTTTAATGTTTCACCAGTCAGCCTGCAATCAGCACTCCTGTTCTGTAAATTGGTATAAGGTGTCTCAATGTGGTTTTCTTTTCTGATTTATTAATGAATTTTCAAATCTTTTACCTGCAGTATGTTCATTTCCTTCAACGGAAGTATTCACTAAGTTCTTTCAACCTTCTGGGTCATACAGCACCTGCACAGGCCGCATCACTACTCTTGTTGGGCCCTTTTCTAGACTATTGGTTGACAAACAACAGAGTTGACAAATATGCTTATAATGCAGGTTCTTTGGTAAGTTTTGGAACACAAAATGATATCAATGCTATTAAATTCAATGTGTATACCCTATATGATATGTTTTCTCTGAGAAAATCAGTAATGCGCACATGGATGTGCATATAATGGATGGTTTGATGTGTTGCATGATATTGATTTCACCTTCAAATGTATTTAGAGAAAATAATTGTGCATATGATATATATGGTCTGGTTTGCATGGCTATGTCTTTAGACATGCCCTACTTCTTTAGATACATAATCTGCTTGTTAATGTGCTTAACTTGTCTTTGAATAATTTATAAATTTATTGCATATTGCTAAAATTTATCTTAGCTCCTTTTTTTTTTTTTTTACTGAAAAAACTGCCATTCTCAACAAGTTTCGATGTTCACTAACTATTGTCTTGTTTATTAAACATGGAGGATTGAGTTTCCAACATTTTCTGTATGCATGCTAAATAATTAATTTAATTTCAATGTATACATACGAGGATGTAAAATATATTTGTATTCTAAAACCAAGGTCCGGGACGGGTAAAAACATTGAAACTTGTAAAGAAAGGTATGACTTAGATGCGGAATTGAACTTTTCTTTTTCACCCAATTAAAAGTCATGTTCTCAATAAAATACAACATATTCAGCTAGAAAAAGTACACATTTTCCTCTAATGTTTTAAGGTTTTTCCCTCCTAAACTCTAGTCTATTGAATTTGATTAGCTGTTTTCCTTTCATTGTGGCAACTTTAGCTGTCATTTTAAGTATTTTACTATGCCTATCCATGTAGATAATAAACACGATAGATCATAAGTATTATGATATTGTCTTTCACTAACTTTATCATATTTTGTGTTGGCTTTGGCAGATTTTCATAATTATGTCATGCACTATTGCAGTTGGGACCAATCTCAGCCAATTTATCTGCATTGGCAGATTTACTGCCGTCTCTTTTCAAGTCCTAGGCCACATGAAGACAATACTTGTTTTAATAATGGGGTTCTTTTTCTTTGGGAGAGAAGGTCTTAATATTCACGTGGTTTTAGGGATGGTTATAGCTGTGATTGGAATGATATGGTATGGCAATGCCTCCTCAAAGCCTGGTGGAAAGGAGCGTTTGAATCACTCTCTCCCTACCAACAAAACTGAAAGCCCATAGTTTCACATCAATCACTCATTGTGCCTTTTTTATCTTACAAAAGTTGAGAACATTAAAGAGTAGGTTATTATAGGAAAGTATTTAATTATTTCAAATTAAAACCTTATTATTTCAACGTTATTGTAATTCTTTAAATTTGATTTCTTGTTTTGATTCCAGTGGATATTCCTAATAGGATTAGGTTCAATACCATATTTAATCTCTTCCTATTCTCGACTCGTACAATATTTTGCGCTGAAAAAAAAGAGCAAATCACTATCACAGCACGAACCATACATTTTAACACATTACCATTAAAAATCAACAACTTTTTGAATCAAGTCCTGGCAGAACTCTTGACGATTTGATGACCAGTGCATCACAGTTTTTATAATATATGGGGAAAACCTTGAAAAAAAAGGGTAAAATCTTAGGAAAGATCATTATAGCATTCTAAGGTTGGATTAATACTAGGCCTGAGCATCGGTCGGCCACGGTCGGTTTCGGACCAAAATTCCTAAAATCATCCGAAACCGATTAAGAAAAATCAGGGGCCATTTCCGACCGACGAAGAACTCAGATTTTGGCGGGTTCAATCCGTGCGGGTTACGGGTTCATCGGATGGATTTATCGGTTTGAGAAGCTTCCTCGTCGCCATCCGTCGTCATTCTTTGCCAGTCTCTGTCGCTGCTTCATTTGGGGAAAATCACGGAGTTTCAGATCTCCGCATCACCACCTTCATCAACCAGAACAGGAAGTTTCTCAGCAGCGGTAGCCATGGAAGAAGAAGAAAGAAGCAGAAGAAAGAAGACGAAGTGAAGAAGAAGAATAAAGAAGACAGTGTGAAGAAGAAGAAGAAAGAAGCAGAAGAAAGAAGATGGAGTGAAAAAGAAGAAGAAAGAAGACGGAACGAAGAAGAAGAAGAAAGAAGACGAAGTAAAAATGGAGAAAATAAACGGTGAAGACGAAGGTGAAGAAGAAGAAGATAAACGGTCGGATTCGGGTACATCGGATGAGAAAATTCCAACACCGAATCCGACCGTTCAAAACCGTTTGAACCCGAAATTTGCTTCAAAAAAAATCCGATATACCTAAGAATCAATCCGCCTCACCCAATCTGATCATCGGTTTGGCCGGTTTCGGATCGGCCGGAAATTTTTGCACAGGCCTAATTAATACATCAAAATTTGAAGGGAGTACTACGAGCACTCAAACTCTTTGCTACCACACCCATTTTATCCAATTAACGCTTGCAAGCCCAGCCACCACACAAATTCTCGAGTACATTTCTAAATCAATTTATACCAATGTTAACACCTATTAAATACGTATATAAACATAACTTTTTTAATGATACTGCTCTAATATATTTTTTCGCTATTTCAGGCAACAAAAATGTAGCCACACAAAAAAGTAAACTCATCACAAAATATGCGTGATAGACGAGAGTTGCCTCCTAAACAAGTGCTAGCAATGAGCTTAAAATATTATCAATTTCAATAATTAAGATTAATATACAACTATTTTTCTGCATATTTTGTTAGCAAGTACCCTTATTTACAGATGAAAGAACTACGCTCAGAACCACAAGCAAATTCAACAATTCATTTAAGTTATAAACGTGTCTCTAATTTAATGCTAATATTATAATTTGAATTTTAGAATGTAGCATTTTCCTTCCAGGAATAATCATTAAAGTGAATATGTAATTTCATGATTCATCAATACTATTCAAGGTTCTCAACGACTTAAAAAACCAACATTCAACTAGACGGACGCTTAACACAAATAACAAACAAAATTGAAATTGTCACAGCATCTAACAACCGATACAAAGTTGGTATGCAAAACATGTCTAATGTACTTCAAATTTGCCTCCTCAACAAAATCTAACAACTCCGAGCCAAGGCATAACATCTTAACGCTTCTTAGAGACACCAACAGTCTTCCCCCTGCGGCCAGTAGTTTTAGTATGCTGACCACGGACACGAAGGCCCCAGTAGTGCCTCAAACCACGGTGGTTTCTGCATAATAGGTAAGGATGTGAGTCTCAACTGTTGTTTCAGCAACAAGTAATTTCTTAAATTTATTCGAGAAATCTTCAGAGAAGTCTTTGAGGTTGTAGGTAATTAAGGATTTTAACCACTAAATATTAGGCAGTGGTAGGATAGATCATCCAATGACCCATCTGTCGCCATATAACATGAATAAACAATTAAGTACAATGACACTAACAAAATACAATAAATGGATATCATGTTCAAATAAGCTTATTTTTTAAAAAATTTATTGGTTTTCTTGTAAAATTTATAAAAAAGCTTTGGAAAAAACACAATTTTCTAAAAACTGATCTCCAAGCTAATATGCAGTCAAACAAAACCAAGAAAAACACTTGTAAATTCATAATTTACACTGACATCTTGCAATGAAATGGCCAATAGAAAAACCGAACTCAGGTTATTGGTCTGGAAAGCCAGCAAACTACTCTTGAATTGCTTCTTTCAGAGAAAGAATTCCATTACAATAAAACTTAAATAAATATTTCTATTTGTTAATGAGAACCATTCCTTCTATAACATCATACATAAACATCGCAGGCAAACAGTTACACCATAGCACAAAAGGAACAAGCATCTAAAGGACAACATAAGAAAGAAACAAAAAAAAAAAACAGCAGATCAGCACCCAGCACCCCTCTCACTCACAGATTTGGCACGATAAAACAAAATAGTCATCTCGCACAAAACCAACCACAGACTACATATAGCTAAGCTATATACCGACCTAGCATTCAACTAATCAACAAAGGCAATACTTGCTTCCAATTAGAACAAACAAATATCAGACTTAAAATAAAAACAACTTGAACACAACCATGAATAGATAGATAGTCAACGAAGATAAAAGGTTGACCTGATTTTCTTGAGTCTCTCCAAGTCATCCCTTAGCTTCATATCAAGAGCATTAGACACAACCTGAGAGTACTTGCCATCCTTGTAATCCTTCTTTCTGTTCAAAAACCAATCTGGGATCTTGAATTGCCTAGGGTTGGCCACCACAGTCATCAAATTATCCAACTCAGCAGCACTCAACTCACCAGCCCTGTCGGCACCAACAAAACAAAAACACCCAATTCAACAAAATCCAAAAACACAAGTTAAAAAGGTGCAATCAAAATGAACAAACATATATATAAAAAAAAACCTCTTGTTCATGTCAACATCGGCCTTCTTGCAAACCATGTTGGCGAATCTCCGACCAATACCCTTGATGGAGGTGAGAGCGAACATTATCTTCTGCTTGCCATCCACGTTAGTGTTCAGCACACGCAGAATGTGCTGGAAATCCTCGTTCGCCACCAGAGACTATCACAACCACGAAACAAATTCAGTTACCAATTGAGGGTTCCACGAAAAATCGGAACTTTATAAAATCACCGTCACGCTCTGAGAGGTGCAGTGAGATGGGAACGTACCATTTTCGCCGCGGAAGGGTTGTTGGAGAGTGACGGTCGCCGCCGGAGCTGTTGGTGTTGGCCGATTGAGGATCTGAAACTCTAGGGTTTGGGATTGAGTCTATATTATATAGTGTGCTCCGACTGCGCTAGGGTTTTGCTGTGCGTGCTACATAGAGCGACGTCGTTCGAATTACAATAATTTTTGGGCTTAGCCTGCTCTGTTGGCCCATTTCTGACCTAGTTTTGGGCTTTGTTTTCTTTCTTTTGAAAAGCCTCATGATATATACATTTCATTTTTTTTAATAAGTATACCTCTTTTTTAAAAGAAATTGACTTTCAGAAACTAAATTTTATAAGTCAAAATTTTCTTAGTTTTGAAATTGGAATTCCATAACAACAAAAGTTTTGATCGAGTATTTTTAAAAAATGTATTTATTGTCAGTTTTAGTATTATATTTTACTTTAATATATATTAATTTTGTTTATTATGCTTCGATTATGTATGTTTCATTTTATTTTGAATTTTAGTTTTTTTTTAATCTATAGACATAGTTCACGCCGTCAAAACTAATAATTAAAGATTAACTTATATTCATGTGAGATATCTTTCATCATATTTAAATTTGAATCATGTTACCGTATTTCTTACATACAAAAAAAAAAGAGTAAACAACTAGAAATTTTAAGGACAACCCAATTCTGAATTAGAAAATGTACCTGTCTAGGGGCACACTCGTACTCTGCAGTGAGGGAAGGGCCGAACGAGGGTCTTCAGGTGAGCTCTTCTGCGCGAGGGGGGGGGGGAGGTACCTGCAAAAGACACTCCAACGCTCAAGTTAGGACAAGCACGATATTCTAGGGTAATTAATGAACAGTGACATACCTTGACAAAAGTGACCTATTTATACTACCACTGATGGGCCTTGTCAGTAGTGGGCCTCTCCTGAAGTTTACCAAATTAGGTAATACGCCGCTAATAGGCTCATTATGCTTTAATCACGTACTTATCCTCATTAATCATGGTGAAGGCTATAATTATTATCTCGTCCCTCGGCTCGGCCTTAGGCCGTGCCGTTTACATGTTTGCTGCGCCTTTCGGCCCGGCCTTCGGCCGAGTCGTCATATGTTTACTGTGCTGTTATACTTGATCGGCTTCTGTCTGAGCCGGTGTACGTCTTGCGAAGCCCACGGTTTGGTTCGTATCGATCTCACACCGAGCCGATCGCGCCATCCGACTCATAACATACTTTCGGCTGTAATCCGAGCCGGTGCTAATGTTAAGGCTTTTAGGGTTATTCACCTTGCATGGGTGTCTGACGGCAAGTCACGTGTTGGTTCGCGTGACCGATAGGGTCCTTCCGGTACACAAGCCCCCCAACCTTGAGGAGTGAAACGACGCAGAGGGTAAAAATGGCTCAACTGTCCTTCAGGACAAGGCTACCCGTTGGAGGGAAACGAAGAGTTGCTACGGTAGAGTCTTAATGATGAGTGATGGCTACTGGTGGGAGATGAAGGGTTATAGCCGTTGGAAGAATGCCAAGGGTTATAACCGCTGAGTAGTAAATGACGCATGCGAAAGGTCGCGCGTTGTGGGCCATTGGATCTAAGCGATCCAACGGTACGCGGCGGGGTATGGCTTTCAACGTGGTTGCGGGAACGCCTATAAAAAGGTGTGTAGGGGGAAACCTCAGGCACGCTATTAAGCTTGCTCCGAGCCGAGATCATCCAAGTGCTAGATTATTCACTGATAATAGGTCAACCTCAACCATCAGGTACGTAATGGCAAATTCAGGTATTGTTCATGTTGGCTCTTCTGGGGACACGGGTGGCTCAGATAGGGTCGCTTCGGGGGCAGCGTTGGACTGACACAACAGGTCGGCCTCGGCGCCGAACGGATCCGACAACACTGGATCCGCTTCGGGGTCAAGGCACATTACTAGCGAAGGCGATTCCGCCTCGGCAATAGGTTCGGAGGAACGGCCGTCTACGGGTTCACGGCAGTTTCCCCCTATTGCGACTCCTGGTTATTCATGGGTGCACGGGGAAGTGGGTAGCGTCTACTCTCGGTACGCCGACAAGAATTCGATCGCGCTTTTTCTCTCTGCGACGAATTGTGTGACCTTCCCGGCCGAGGAAGATCCTGCTCCTCTTTTCTTTCAGCTGTGCCGAGGTGACGGCGGTCCAACCCAGACTTCGTCTTCTTAGATCGAGGAAGCTGTAAATACCAGTTTTTTTACATGTATGACTACATGTTCCGCGATCTAAAAGTGACACTGCCGTTCGACAAGTATTGCATGGGGATACTGCGCTTGCTAAACGTGGCGCCGACTCAACTTCATCCCAACAATTGGGCTGCCATGCAAGGGTTTAGGCGGTTGTGCTCGACCCTCGGCCTTCAACCTACCCCTCTCCTGTTCTTGTACTTCTACTCGTCTCGGCCAGCTAAGAAGGTCAAGTGGTTGTCATTGATTCGGCATGCCGACTGTTTGTTGCAGCCGTTTACTACCTCTTATAAAAACTTTAAGAGAGGATTTCTTAAAGTGATGATTAGGCCGTCGACGGGGAATAAGTACTTTTTTGATGACGACGGACAGCCTCTATTCCCGTTGTACTGGACTCGGAAGCCGCGCAAGTACAACACAGTGTCCAAGTTCCGGCTGTCCCCTGAAGAGCGCACTAGTTTAAAATTTTTGCTGAAATTGCCTCGGCCGCTACCGTGCCGACCTCTTGTTCGGTTACTTGAATCGGCCGACCCGATCGAAGAACTAATCGATAAAGTAACTTTCCTAGTTGTGTAGGTTCTTACGTTATCATTGATTTTGACTTAATGATGTGCAGGTATAATGGCGAGCCGTGTGGACGATGATTTGGACATTCGGTCGCTGATCCGCAATCGGCTGGCGACGACGACGGGGAACCCTGTTCCGGCTGACGCTCGTGCGGCGGGCCATACATCTCAACCTCAAGGTGGGGGGTCGGGTCCCACTGCTAGGGTGAGGAAGGGGGCTAAGGGTCCGACCCCGCCTCAAGCATAAAAAAGAAGGCCTGAGGGAGGCAGGGCCGTAGATGAAAGCCGGCGGGCAAAGCAGCAACGGCTAGCCAACCCGAACGCTCTTGAGGGGTTGGTTGGGCCTAACTTCTTGGCCGGCAACGTCAGGACAAGCACGATATTCTAGGGTAATTAATGAACAGTGACATACCTTGACAAAAGTGACCTATTTATACTACCACTGATGGGCCTTGTCAGTAGTGGGCCTCTCCTGAAGTTTACCAAATTAGGTAATACGCCGCTAATAGGCTCATTATGCTTTAATCACGTACTTATCCTCATTAATCATGGTGGAGGCTATAATTATTATCTCGTCCCTCGGCTCGGCCTTAGGCCGTGCCGTTTACACGTTTGCTGCGCCTTTCGGCCCGGCCTTCGGCCGAGTCGTCATATGTTTACTGTGCTGTTATACTTGATCGGCTTCTGTCTGAGCCGGTGTACGTCTTGCGAAGCCCACGGTTTGGTTCGTATCGATCTCACACCGAGCCGATCGCGCTATCCGACTCATAACATACTTTCGGCTGCAACCCGAGCCGGTGCTAATGTTAAGGCTTTTAGGGTTATTCACCTTGCATGGGTGTCTGACGGCAAGTCACGTGTTGGTCCGCGTGACCGATAGGGTCCTTCCGGTACATTAAAGAATGATGCTATACATTCCAAAAAACGACCGAATCATCCTCCAAATAAATAATAAAGTGACATTTGTTAAAAAATTTAATTTATAATATTCATCATCAGTGTGTTAATTAATTTTTCGGACGATTATGTTCGAAGGATCTATCATTTTTCATTAGAAAAATATTGACAAAGTGGTATGTACTCAACAACACGCAATAACTCGACCCCATTGAACAAGCTATAATATAAAAAAAAATGAAAATTGAGTGGTGAATGGTGATGCGCCTCGATTGTCGTCTCAACGAAAATTTGGTCCCATTAAGGAAGTAATAATGTCTATTGTGATTAGCAATGTGCCTCAACCCGCATCTCAAGGAAAACTTGACCCTTTAAACAAGCTATAATAGAGATTGTGATCAGTGGTGTACCTTGACTCGGGTATCAACAGAAACTCGACCCTATCAAACAACAATAATCGAATTTGTTACCAGTGGTGTCTCAATGGAAACTTGAGCTCCCCTAGAAGTGCATCTAAAGAGGTGATCTTGACCAACAAAGACATACATGTAACCTCACTCCCGTAGAAAGATGAAAGCCAAGAAGCAACAAGAAGTTCCACAAAATTAACAAAGAAAATTAGAAAAACAAAGCCCAAGCCCAACTGAACATGCATTAGTCCAAACAATTAGAACTGAGTTTCATTACATAACACAAAATGAGACAATGATGAACAAAAATATCTGGTTACAGCCTCGTCTTTCGTTACTGTACAAGTCTGTTCTATGAGAGCAAAGTCACGAGCAAAGTTCAGGTTGAAACTTAG